TCAATATTAATTGAATTTTCATATTCAATCCATAAATAATTAGAACTTTTTATGAAATAGTCATGTAAATATAGATATATAATTTGAATGAGTTGATGAATCTTAAAGGTTGAATTTAGTTTTTCTTTCATTTTCAATTGATAAATTAAATTTCATTTATTTTACCTACCAAGGTGAAATATCAGTCATAGTTCAATTAAATCATTTAATACAGCTTCATCGATACCAGTTACTTTAGTAACTACAATGTTAACTTTTGATAAAGAGTTCTTATGAATATGATCAGATAATTCTTCATCTTCGTGTTTATCATCGATTATTTGAGAATCAACTAATAAAATTGATGTCGTATAATCTTCGTTTTATACAATAAAAGACGAGATCACTATTGATAAGATATATCGCGATACTTTTTAAATGACCTTGAGTGAAAATGAGTTGTTTCTTGTATTGTCGACATCACTTGCTTTTCTCGAAAAAACTGATGCTTGGAATGACTATCATAAGTAAAAAAAACACTATCTCATGATGAAAATAGTAAAATACGACAACTAGTCTATATTTTATTAGTCTCTTTCCTAATTTATATGATTAACATTTTGTCGTACTGCAAAAAAAAACGATTAATGGATAATATAAAAATATTTTTTCTCGAATATTTACAAGTATTCATTCCAGTTCTAATTAATTGATACCAGCTTACACATTTCAAAACAATAATATCCTAACCAATATTTAATTTTTATATGATAGACTGAGGTATTTTTTTCATCTAGAACGCCATGACATACAAAATAGTGTTTTTTTTTCTTATGAAGTGTTTTTAAAATTAAACCTTGGTTACGAATCAGAAAAAAACAATTCGACAAATTTTCACTTTACAGTTGAGAAAATAAAACTCAAAATAAAATGTCTTAGATTGATACGTTTTTTCCTTTCCTTTCGTTCAATCATCAATTGTTCGATAAGATATTGAGTGCACGACATACGAGTTGTTCTTACACATTCGAAATGAAATCACAAACGAATTAAACATGAAATATTTAAAGACCATCGAGATATCGTGCACTCGACTTTTCATCGCTTGACAGACGCCGGTTGTTATCGTGCACTGCGTATTATAATTCCGTCGACGTCGTCTTTCATCGCGTCTTTCCGTTTTTATACCTTTTCTTCTTTCCATTTCTGTTTCTTCTCGTTCTTCATAACAGAAGAACAAAAAAAAATTTATAAACTGATGGAGCTTTCGAGGGTGGCTTTAAAATAATTGAACCTTCCCAGGGATATCCGACGTTCTGTTGGTAACCTGTACAGGCGTGCAGATAGTAGGTCTTCATAACATACATCTATGTATGTATGACTAGAAGCATTCATCTCGTCATCGTCTTTCCGAAGATGATGATCATGGATGTACTAATCATACATACATAAATGTATGTTTGCCTTATCATTGCCGGCTTTGTCCACTGTACAACCCAACAGAATACGGAGGGTATCCCTGGCCGCGCGTGCGCGAAATTGTTGTAGTTGGTCCGCTTCGGCGAGCCAAACGTGTTCAAGAAGGCAAATTTATTTTCTTGTTTAAAAAAAAAACAATTACATTTTCTTTTTTACATTTTCAATGCTTCTTTTCGACTGTGCAATATGTGGATGGTTTGGTGGCAGAGTTTTTCGATCGATTTCATGCGCTTTTTCATAATATGTAAGTGCTTTCGGGTACTCGCCCATGTCTCTATACATGCAGCCAATGTTGTTGTAGGATTGAGCGAAGTCGGGATGATTCGGAGGAAGAGCTATTTTTCGGATTTCAAGTGATCGTTCGTACGATGAAAGTGCTTTCGAGTACTCGCCCATGTTATTATACACATTACCGATGTTGTTGAAATCAGTAGCCAAATCGGGATGATTCGGAGGAAGAACTTTCTTGTCGATATCAAGTGCTTTTTCGTAATATGAAAGTGCTTTCGAGTACTCGCCCATGTTATAATACACATTACCGATGTTGTTGTAGGATTGAGCAAAGTCGGGATGATTTGGAGGAAGAGCTGTTTTTTGGATTTCAAGTGTTTTTTCGTAATATGAAAGTGCTTTCGAGTACTCG